ATTGAGTCAGGATGGGAGTATTTTCCTTTCTCTACTTCCAGCCACAAAGCAAATCACTATTTTGTGAATGATGATTCACAGAAGGAGAAGAACTGTGCCTTCAGAATATTAAATGGAAGGAAAAGATGGGGACATGTCCTATGCTTTTCAGCGAGAATGAAGAAAAGTTCTACAGACTGCCTTTCTGATGCTCGGCATAAACCAAAGTCCCACATTTCACAGCCTAGTAACAGCTACTCCGGGCAACACAGGTACTGTCACTCTGCATTCATACACTCATTAGCGCACAGAGATTCTCTTTTCATTTAAAAGCTCTCACACCTAAAGGAACACACCCCCTGGACTGAAATACTTTCCTCAGGCGGTCCGGAATCCACAGCATTGAAAACCTGAAACAAACTCGGCCAAATAAGAGGGCTTCTAAACAGGAGATAATGACTTGTATTTAAAATCCGATCTTCAACTTTCCTACAAATGCAATTGGTCAACTTCAACAAAGAGCTTTTGCCCCACAGGTAAGTCCTTCTATCTTGTTCATACAATGAAAACTTTCCCACTAAGTTGAAATTTCTCTTCCCAATGACAATACCGGTTACGTGGGCAAACGAACAAACTGATAGTAAAAATCACCAAGTAGGCTCACCGACTCTTGACTCTTTAAATAAACTCAGGATGAGACCTGGCCCCCACAAAGGACAGAATAGAAACGAATCAGAATCCTGGAGCAGAAAAGATTCATGAGCTAATATTTAGCCCAACCGTTTCATTTTACAGATCAGGTATTTAAGGTTAAAAGTGAACTGCCCAAGGTCCCGTCACTGGTCAACGAGAGACGAAGGCGAGGAGAGCCCTTGTCCACTGACTTCCACTCTGAGGCTTCTTCTGTTCCCCTGTGCTCTCTGCTTTCTCTTTCCTTCTGTCAAGCTCAGGATTAGCTGTGAAGGCAATGAAGGGGCAATTCCCCCGGTTGGTACAGATGCCCAGTGAACATCCGAAACAAAAAACAAAATCACACACACTCTCCAACCACCCTCTGCCTACACGAACAGCATCTTTTCCAGGCCCAACCCGAGAACGTCCCTTAGTCCATCTCAACTAAACTGCTATTTCAAAAAACGAAAACAAACGTAAACCAAGGTCGTCATTCGGTTTCAATTTATATCTACTTAAAGTGTGCCATGTTATGATCGCAAGGGAAATTCTACCTTTAACATTTTACGAGGTGGTAAGGAAGGTTAAGTGGACTATGAAATTAACAACTGAACACTAGCTGCTGATATATAAACCATTTCTGGGGTTTATATTAAAGAACAGCTCAAATCCGAGTTAACAGAGATGCCGTACCATGTTGATTTTGATGGCACGGTATACGGTGGGTGGCATTAACAGTAAGTACCTGAGACAATCCTCAGAAAAGGGGGGCAACATGGACGGGGAAGGGGAGATGAAGAAACAGACTTCGGTGATTTCCTACTGTGCTCAGTTAAATATAACTTAAATTCAACTTTCTGATTGTCAGACAAAAAGTTGAAATAGAGGAGACCAGCAACACCTCAATATTGTTTAAAAATAATCCCCTTCTGACAGCATCTGGTCATGAAGAACTCCTACATGTAATCGTTACCTGGAGATACTCAGTACAAGGGAAGTCCCGGGCCTGTGGCAGTGAAGGACAAGTCTCCGTGGCTGAAAGAGTCTAAACAGGGAAGTGATTTGGAAGTTCTAGCACCTTTCCACCACCTGAACTTACTAGTTCTTAGTTCTGTAAATAGTAGCCCCGTTTTGTTATAGACAAGTTATAGTCATTATTCACTTAAAACAAACCAGAATTTACAGAGGCTAAGTTCATTCTAGCTCACAAAACCATTTTTTCATGAATCCAGACAAGACTTGATTCGGATCAGTGAATTTCGAGAAACAATCTTTAGAATTCTAGGTCAGCCCAGGGGAACCCTGAACTTCCCCCTCTGGAACCTTATCATTGATTTGTGAGACTCTGTAACAAAATGCTTGGTTTCTGCACTGAAAACTACCAGGTCAAAGGATCTAATCACTACGGTTTAGTAGTGAACCATACTATGCGTTAGCACTAATCAACGCATACCATCGGCCGACACATCTTAGATTGCTCCCAACTACCACATAAATAAAAAAGCTTACCAATGGAACAACAGCTCATTCAAACCCAATTCAGGAAAAATACTGAAGTTTAATGTAAAGAGCCAACCACTCTTCTCATTGTAAAGTAGCAACAACTGCTCAGACAAAAGTTTTAAAGGAAAAAACAACTATGAATATGCTCTTATTTGAAATAACTGCAATTCCTGAACAGGCTTCACACTCCATACTACTGCTAAGCAAAATAATGCCAGTGGATGAGGAAGTGTTAGCACCTGATTAAAACTTGAAAAGTGATTTGTCAAAGACCAACAAATAAAATATTCTGGTGCCCAGACATTAGGTCCCTGAATCCAGGTGGTTCTCTTTCTAGCCAGTCTCTTGAGAAGCTGCGGATTGGAAGCTGTCAGCGTGAAACGTTGCTTTTGAATAGGTGATAACAACATTTGGAATGGGAACACTTGGTCCCAATACGAAATACATAAGCATGCTACACAAGAAGAAAATACGTCTCAAGACCCCCTTAAAACAGACTAACTTCTCCTCATAGAGACTTTCTTATTATACTCAAATATACATGGGGCTACAATTCTACATATAACCAGGCAAGTCTCAATTTTGAAAATAAGCAGGTAAATGAAATGTCAGTAAGTCTTTTTTTTTTTTTTTTTTGCTGCCGTATCTTTTAAAAAAGCAAAATCAACTCACATTTAAGCACCAACTCCATGCAAGTAACCTGAACGGTTCAGTCTTTTTGTCATGTATGAGGCCTTTGGTTCTCCAACTACATGGGATCTGTGTTGTTAGCTTAAAAAATACAGAATTGGCCTTTCAAAAAAAAATAATAATCTACAGCAACCAATAAATAGTCTCAAACAACCCTGCTGACTGCAGCTGCCTTCTGAAGGCTGGGAAAAGGAGGTGGAGACAGAGCGGAGAGAGGCAGGGAAAAGGGGCGCTGCAGCTACGGAGCAAGGAACACGCCCCCATCATGTCCTCCTTGCTCTGTCAGAAGGCGGGCTGTTGTCAGTCTCCTGATCAGGCTGCCTTAGAAACGATTTTTAAAAGAAGGCAGGAAGACGAACAACTAAAAAATGCCAGCTCCTTGAAAGGAGGGGCCGGGGTCTCTGGGATCTTCTCCCTCCCCTTCTTCCCAGGATCGTTCCGTATATCTAAAGGGGTGCAGGGCACAATAGGGGACGGGGGGTTTGCCCGGACCAACGGCAAGGCACGCAGGAAACGCCTGGTTGTTATCTTTCCCTTTCTGTTTCAATCAAGAGCACTCCAGAGCACCAACCCCCTGCCCCCCCCTTCGCTTCAGCCCCTAGCAGCTGCTCTTCCTCCTCCTAGCATCCCCCCGTCTCATCCCCCCCTCCCCTACAATTCAAACTCCCCCTTCTGCATCCAATGGAAAACAAATACGCAACGCCACTGGCTGAACCTGAACTCAACTTCCCTTCCCAGGGCAACTTTCCTTTTTGCTGCTGGGGGCTGAGTAACGCTTATCAAGGGGTCCCCATCCCTGCCCCGGTTACTAATGGGGAAGGGGCAAAGCTCCTGACCCTTCGTCCACCTTGGGCCACCCTCTAAGAATCAGAGAGATAACCCTAACTCCTCCTTCTAAGGAATAACTTTGCTTCGGAGCCCCCCCCCCCTTTCTCCCAACCCAAAGCAACCACCACCAGCAGCATCGTAAAGTAAAACTGTCCCTTATCTACTCTCCTCACCCCAACCCTGCTTCCCCCACCCCTTCCAAGCCCCAGGATTGGCCTAGGAAAAGGTGGATCAATAGTGAAATGACGGAGAAAAGGAGAAGGGCGGGAGGGAGCCAGGGCTGGAGACTGCGCGCTCTCCGGCGCAGTGGGTGGGGTGGGAGAGCAGCTGCTTCCCCTGGGAGGATGCTGCCCAAGTCCCCCCACAAACACCTCCCCGCACAGGGGCCCCGTCCCCAGAGCTGGAGGGAAAGCCTGCCTCCTCTCCGGGCCTAGGGGACAGTGGACTGTTTTCCTCTCAAAGATGCCACTAATCCTTCATTCTAAAGGAGGGAGAGGGTGGGGTGAAGGTAGAGTAATTCCCTGCTACCAAGAGGCTAGAAACTGCAGCTGTGTAAGATGGGGGAACCAGAGTGCTGCTCGAGGAGATCACCGTTATCTCCAGCGGGAAAGGAGGTGAAGGGGGGCAAGGTGGAGAGGAAAGTAGATTTTTTTTTTCCTGGCGGGGTAGGGAAGGAGGAGGGAGGATCTCTCTGCGCGGGGTGGGGGGTGGAGGGTGGAGGTGAAGGAAGGGGGAGTGGCTGCTAGTGCAGCGGACCTGGCCCCGGGATGGGGCGAGGGTTCATCAGGTTTTTGGAAGCAAGGTGCTGGACGAGACATGGGTCCCCAAGGAGCAGGAGAAGAACGTGGCCCCGGATGAGGCCATCGCCCGAGAGATGCCCAAGAGGAAAACTGCCCCAAGAGTAAAACATCTGCCCAGAGAGGGAGGCGGGGATGTGGCGGGATCAGGTCTCTAGGAGGGAGGGAGGGAGGAATCTTGCTCGGATGAGGTAATCTGTGAAAGGGAGGAGGGGTTCAGTCCCGGGATGGGAAACCCCGGCGAGGGGTCTGTGCCAAGGGATTTGGGGAAGGGTCAGGGGAAGGAGGCGGGGAGTGGGGGGGCAAACGCCCTTAGCCAGATGGGTCCAAACCGCGGGGTGGGGGGCGCCTAGGGGTCTGCACCCACGTATGGGGGCGGGGGGGGTCCCAAGATGGGAGGGCCGTTTGCCCCGGGGCCAGGGACCCCAGGAGGGTCCCGGAATTGGGATGCTCCACAATCCCGGATGGGGGAGGGGAGGGGGCTCCGCAGAGGGTCGAGACCCCGGGCCTGGGGGTTCCTCGCCCCCTTACCTCTCCGCTGCCGCCTCCCCCGCCGCTCTCCCCAAACACCGCCCGGAACCGGCGCAGGTTGGTGCCGATGGCGGCCGAGACCTGCAGCGCCGCGTCGAAGCCCGGGCCCACCCGGAGCAGGGCCGGCCCGGAGGAGGCTGAGGACGATGACGAAGACGAAGACGAGGCGGACGACGAAGAGGCTGCTGAGGCGGCGGCCGCTCCCCCTGGAACCCCAGCCCCGCTGCTTCCCGCCGCCGCCGCCGCCGCCGCCGCCGCCGCCGCGGCCGCCACAGCCGGGGGGGAGGGGGGCGCCCCGGGGCCGCCGCCGCCGACCGGGGGCCCGGGGGGAAGCAGCAGGGCCGGGACGCGTTGCCGCGGGGCGCCCCCCAGGCCCCGGCGCCCCCCGCCGCCGCCGCCCCCGGTGGTCCCGGGTCGGGCGGGGAAGCGCCACCGACAGCTGTGCGCCATGTTCGCCCCGTGAAGTGAAGCAGCGAGAGGGAGAGGCGACAACACAGGGGGGCGGGGAGGCGGAGGGGGGGGGCCGAGGGCCCCGGAACCTGCCTGAGCCGCTCGGCGCCGCCCGGCGGCCTGCACCCGGCCGGCCGCTATGCAGAGCGCCGGGCCGCGCCCGCCCGCCCCGCAATCTGTATAGCGGGCTCGGGCCTACGCTCCCGACGCCGGGCCGCGGCTACGCCAGGCCGAGGCCCGGGCCGCCGCCGCCCGCCCGCCGCCCGCCCCGCAACCTGGATAAGTGAATGCCCCGCCCTCCGGGAGCGGCATTGCTGGGGAAAAGGAGGGGGGAAGGAAGCCCAGGAGCCCGACGCGGAGCGCGGGTTCCGGGGAGAGGGGGAGGGGGCGAGGACTACGGGGAGGATGGAGGCGGAGGGAGCCCGGCCGCCCGCAGCCTCGAGAGCCGAGAGGCCGCTTACACACGTTCCCGGGATGCGCTGGGAATCGAACCGCCCGGGAGAGCAGCTTCCAGTATAGCGCGGCTGCCGGGTCGGGGACGAGTGAGCCTCCTTCTCTGCCTCGAGGCACGGATACAAGATGGGCTAGCCCTCCTTTAACGCTTCTAGAATAAAAGAGCCCTGAGTGTACCATATGCAAGACGGAAGCGTTGCCCAGTTTACTATATGCGGAATAGAAAGGCCCTCAATGAACGCGCTTTAAAAATTAAAAGAGAGAGAGAGAGAGCCCCTCCCATTTTCAGGCTGGAGCTCGCTCCAAAATGCACACATCAAGGGGCAGGTCTCCCGCCACCTCCTCGCGCTCGGGGCTTTGGGACCTCCGTCTCTCGTGCCCTTCTGCAGAGAGTTGGGTCGCGTTTCTCCAGCCCGGGCATGGGGGCCGCGGCGTGCTCCGCTAACGAGGCGGTGTTACAACGAAGCTGAAGCTGGATGGCTAACGGGGCCTGGAGGGAAGAGGCGGGCAAAAGCGCCCCCGCCCCTTCTTCCTCCGTTCTCTGCCTGCCGCTGCATGCAAAGCAGACCCTAATGTATGCATGCAGAGGGAGGGGGGCTCGCGAGCACGTTTCTGATTAAGAGAGGGGGAGGAGAAGAGCGTTGGGCATTATGATACACTGGGTGGAAGGGGCCCGCCGGCGGCGAGCTCGTTGCGCGGGGTTAGTAGGCTGAGGGGGGAGGGGGAAGGAAGGAGGGCGAGGGCGGGGGATGAATATCCACCGGGTTTACTTTATTGCGGGAAAGAGGGGAGGGCGCCTCAAGCTAGGCGTTAGAAGCCTACAAGGCTGGGAAAGCAGGGAGGGGAGGGAGGGGTTTGTACCGGGAGAACTTGTGTTGGCTGAGGCTGGGGGGGATCGATACGCAGCCTGCAGGCCCCGGGGCAGCCTCCATCCCCCCAGCCGAGGTGGAGTTCGCTGGAAGGTCACGCAGCCTTCCCGGACTCCCGCACGGGTACAACGCACACTGCTTGTAATATTACAGCCTGGGGCGGCGAATTTGGGAGGGAGGGGGAGGGTCGCGGTGAGCAGGTTGCAATCAGCTCTGGCCCTCTGGAGGGTGCACTGCACGCCTCCAGAGAAGGTCCACGGCCTCCTGGTGCTGAAAACCTACGTCCCTCCGCCGGCGAAACGTTAGTGCTGAGCGAACGACCGGGTGGGGGCTAGAGGGGAGCGGAGAAAGGGAGGAGACACGGGCGAGCTCCAACTCCCCCAACTCGTCCGGGATCGATCGTCGTTCCAACCGCGCAGGATGGAGCCCAGATGGTTTGCAAAGCGCACACTCACAGGGCACACACAGAACCAGATTCCGTTGTTACATCGCCTGCTTTACTGGGTGCAGAGAGGGTGGGAGTAGCGGGAGAGTCTCTTAAAACGGCAGCCTCAGGACTCTGCTAAGGGTATTAGACACCCCATTGTGGACGGTTTCTCCATTGCAATGTATTTGGCGGTAGGAGCTGGGGGTTTTGCTTCAGTGTAGCTGCTCTGATCAGTTACAGATTGGCGACCACGTGGATTCCCTCATGCGTCCTGATTTGTTCACTCTCTCACTCTTTCTCGCTTATTTTTCTTTTGTATTTGCCGCCCCCCTTCTTTAATATGCATAACGGTCTGCAGAGGTAATAGGCAGGGGACCGAGTGACAGGCTTTACATAACTATGTCAACAGGATTTCTTCCCCGTCCTCCACCCCTGAAAAAACAAACCCGCTGGGTTCTGAGAAACCTCACTTCAAGCACACTTCATTTGGCACAGGTGGGAGGTCTGTAGGTTGGGTGGGGGCAGCAGGAAGGAAGAATGTTGGTGAAGATTGTATGAAGTCCCCTAGATCAAGCATCTAGGTAGAAAAACTCCTTGAAAAATCTGGTTTGTCTCTTTGCCTCCATCCTAGTCCACAAGGAGCCAGAGCAAAGCAGAATATGGTTTACTGTTGGGGCTTTTAAGGCAGAAATAATACTGACTTACATTTGTTGGGTGCTTTTTTGACCTGGGTGCTTTATGTGCATTCAAATCTCACCAACCCTCTGAGGTAAGTCTGATTTTACAAGTGGGGAAACTGAGGCCTAGGATAATGTCCCAGGTCGCACAGCTACCTCAGCTGCACTCAGAGTCTTGGGGGTCTGACACCTATATCCACTAACCTGCTGCTGAGCCCCAAAAGACACACCCATTAGGATGGCTACTATAAAAAACAGCCTGGGTGGCTCTGTCAGTTGAGTGTGGGACTCTCGATTTTAGCTCAGGTCATGATCTCATGATCTCATGCTGGTGAGATCTAGCCCCACATTGGGCTCCACTCACGTGTGCCCTCTCTCTCTCTCTTTCTCTCTCTCAAAAAACATACAGACAAGCAAAAACCCAGAAAACAAGTGCTGCTGAGGATGCAGAGAAATTGGAACCCTTGGTGGTGGGAATGTGATATGGTACAGCTGCTGGGGGAAACAGTCACGGAAAACATGGCGGTTCCTCAAAAACTTAAAAATAGAATTACCATGTGATCCATCAATTCCACTTATGGGTATATACCCCAAAGGACTGAAAGCAGGGTCTCAAAGAGACATTTGTACACCCATATTCATTGCAGCATTATTCATAATAGCGAAAGCATGGAAGCAACTTATGTTGTCCATTAACTGATGAATGGATTCAACATGTGGTATATTCATATTCTGGAATATTATTCAGCCTTAAAAAGGAGGGAAATTCTGCACTATGCTACAATATGGATGAATCATGGGGACAGCAGGCTAAGTGAAATAAGCCAGTCATAAAAAGACAAACGACAAGTACTGTATGATTCCACTTACGTGAAGTACTTAGATTATTCAAAATCATAAAGACAGAAAGTATGGTGGTTGCCAGGGGTAAAGTGGGGGAGAATGGTGATTTTCTGTTTAATAGGTATAAAGTCTCATGTACAAGATGAAAAGAATTATGGGGTTGGATGGTGGTAATGGCTGTACAACAATAGGAATGCACTAAAAAGGCATGTGATTTATTTGTTAATTTTAACTCCGTTTCTTCTTTTTACTGTTTGTTTATTTTTGAGAGACAGAGATAGAGCACAAGTGGGGGAGGGGCAGACAGAGAGCCAGACACAGAATCCCAAGCAGGTTCCAGGCTCTGAGCGGTCAGTACAGAGCCCGACGCGGGGCATAAACTCAGGAACCGAGAGATGAAGACCTGAGCTGAAGTCGGATGCTTGACTGACTGAGCCACCCAGGCACCCCCAGTTTCTTTCTCTTGAATAGCTAATATATTCATATGGTTAAATGTTTAAAATAATTAAAGTCTTCCCTCCACTCTTGTTCTGAACTCCCCTCTCACAGTCATAGCTTATCTCTTCTTAGGGGCCACTAATGTTATCAGTGTCTCATATAATTTTTTTAAATATTTTTATTTATTTCTAGGAGAGAGAGAGAGAGAGACAGCGTGAGCAGGGGAGGGTCAGAGAGAGAGGGAGATACAGACTCTGAAACAGGCTCCAGGCTCTGAGCTGGCAGTCAGCACAGAGCCCGACACGGGGCTCGAACTCACGAACCGCGAGATCATGACCTAATCGAAAGTCGGACCCTTAACCGACTAAGCCACCCAGGTGCCCCAGTGTCTCATATAATTCTTCCAGGGACAGTATGTGCCTATACAAGCAAGTGTGTGTAGAAGTTTTCTCATAAATGAAAGAATATCACCCCCGCTTCCTGAATCTTGCTTGGAAATCTATACCTTGGAAATAATTCCTATTAGTAGATAGCATTTCCTCATTCTCAGCACTGCACGGAATAGGTGTAGCATAATTCACTTAACCAATTCTTCATCTGTGGGGACTTAAGTCGTTTCCAAACTTTTGCTATTTCAAGCAATTTTACAGTGCATTATTTTGACCATTTGTAATTTTGCCAATGTGTAAATATATCTGTAGTATAAATTTCTAGAAGTGGAATTACTGAGTCAAAAGGTACATATATTTGTAAATTTGAGATGTGGTCCCCAGTAAAGATTGTACTAATTCGTACTCCCACCAACCCCCACACCCATCCAGAAATGATTTTTAACATCTTGATCTTTGCCAACCTACTGGAAATGCACACATTTCACATTTTTTTCCCAAATGACAAAAGGAAACATTTAAGACAAACCCCCCAAATCATGCCTTTTTTGCAAGCTCATGAATTACTTCTGGTTTGAATGGACCTCTAGATGTTCACTCCCTTTTCTTCTCCCTGGAAACACTTTTCATTGCAAACTAGTATTGTGGTAGAACAAACATGGGCTCAGAGTCACAAATCTGGGCTTAAATTGTAGGTCACAATAATGTGATCTTGAACCAGGCACCCAGGCTCATTATGCCTGTTTCCTAATTTGCAAAAATAAGGAGCTTCACAAGAGTATTATGAAGATTGAATGACATAATGTAAGTAAAGTGTCTTCTCTCTTATTCAGGTGGACACATTTTCCCCCAAGGATTTCCTTAGGCACTAGTGAAGATACCCTTTCTCAAATCAGCAATTTCC